TATTTTCTTCTCTATTTAATTTTAATTATTTTTTTAAATATTATACGTTGAATGTTTGTTTATTTGTTCTTCATACATACAAGTATGCATTAATTAACGATTCCTTTACTCATCTATATTTTTATTATTATTGCTTTAAAAAGGTTATTAGAAGAAAAAGGTTAACTATACAATAGTAAGTGCCTTAACCATCAAGCTACAATATCCAATATTAACTTGCAAACAAATTGGCGTCAAATAGGAAATACAACAAAATATCTTAAGTGATACGATTTAGGCAACTTTCCCTTACCTACTTACAAAATGTTTCGAAAGCACGTATACAAATTATACGAACCAATAGAATTTACCGAAAGTACCTACATACTTTTGAAACACCTCGTATCTCCTTTATCTTCCTATTTTCATTAATGAGAGTTCGATATTGCATCTTTCTTTTTGCAAACACTCCAATTAAAGGGACAAAATCACGCGAAGGTAAATGTTCATTTACGAGGATAAATGGTGAAATTTTGAGTTATTTCAACCTGTTCTTCCTCCTTGTCGAATTTATGTTTGATCTTTCCCGGGCAAATGGACTCGAAATTATCGCGCTTAATCTACGCGGCTCCCTATACTCAAGCACCGTGACCGTGTGAGTTATTAATATTTCCCGAATGTTCTTGCCACTTTTTATCAATTGGAGCGTGTTATTCTTTGAAATTATCATATCTCGTACTGTTCCATTTTTTCCTGGAATAATTGGAAAATTCAACTTGAACTGTGTTAAATTGTCGCGAGAAATATCATATCGGAGCTTCCTCTATCTGAACAATTTACTTGATTAATTATTTATTACTCTTCGCCGCTTCGTTACGCGTTTGTTTGTAATTGGAACAGTAAGCAGACACCGTGAGTAAGTGTCTAATTAGCATCGGAGAATTCGAAATTGAATGTTCCAGGGATGAATCACTCGAGAGAGAAATACATTCGACGATTCTGTTGGCTATCAAGGAAACTTGTTGTCGCACTTGACACGGTACAGAGAGAACCCCTTGACAACGTCCAATAGGTTGGACAGAAAACGGCGAATACCACTTTTCCAGCAACTCAACTTTCTATCCGTGGAAAGTTGCCGCACTATAAAGTCCCGTGGAAATGATGGATCCTTCGCGAGTTTTGTTATCCCCCAAGCTCGAACAATCTTGTGAACGTTTTGTAGCAACGTGAAAACTTTAAATTCACTTCAGACTAAATTGATAGATTTATCGTTAATTTATCAATTTTTATCTTCCACACTGTTTGGAAAATTCTCTACATTGAAAATTCGTAAATATTTGTCTATATTTCTCATACACGTACACTGTCGTTCCTAAGTGTTAGGACACCCGTTATGTTCGTACAGAAAGTATTATATCGTTTAAATATCGTATCATATATCAATAAAAATACGAGGTTTGATAAAAATTTTAAAATAGTATCCGGAATATACGTCTAACTCAATATCTCATAAATTGAGAGAAAAACTGATGACATAGTATGATATGGTTATCATTGCTGTGACTATTTTAATTTATTTTGTGTCAGATTTTAGTACGTGACGCGCGTGGGAGACGATAGATGTTCAATCGCTGCTTCAAAATCTTTGGTTTCGGCGTTTTCAAATTTAAAAAAAATTTTTTAATTTATCGTTTTAAAAATTAAAGTGGAAGTACACAAAGGAAAAATATTAAGGATTAAATTCGCGACAACGGCACGGTGTGAGCAAATTTTCAAAGCGCCTATAGGGACGAGCCAAACAGCAGTGAAAGGGTTAAAGAAGACCATTTTAATTTAAAATAATTTTTTGTTAACAAAATTTGATGACGCTAGTCCGGATATTTTTTATCAAACCTTGCATACGTACTGGTTATACTGCGAGATTCCAGATTGAAAAATTGTTTTGAGGATCATAAGAATCTTGTAACGACTGTTTAGGTTTGCTTCGTATTCAGTAAGTGCCTTAATAAACACCAAAATTTCGAATGTGAGGAGTCGCTGCTAGAATAGTAGCGGTTTTTAAAGCCAAGAGAAGTCCATCCAACTCTTTTTCCCCTTTTCAATTTTTGTAATATGAAATAAACAATTCCCTAACAGCATTGGAATTCTATATCTGTCAATGCTATCGTAAACGAAATTATTAATCCCTTTTCTCTTTTGCCTGCAATTTTATTAAAGAATAAAGTTTGCAAAAACACTTCCAAAGAAATCAAAACTTCTCCCTATTGTCGTTTTCATTATCTATATAAAAATATTCTTCTCCCGACCAATGTCTATTCACTTTGTAACGAAAAAAAAACCATTCGACGTAAGCCTTAGAATTTCTTATCAAATGACAATGCTATCATAAACAAAATTATTAATCCTTCTTTCTTTCTTCTTCCTGCAATTTTATCAACGAACAAATTTTTCCAAACGAAACTTCTCCCACTATTACAAAAGCTTATCTGTAATAACATAGATTCTTTAACAAAAAATTTCTCCTCTCTATCAATTTCTATTCACTTTCTAAATAAAACATAATTCAACAATTGCAGGGTCCACCAAACGGGTCCATACACCTGACAGTACCAAGAGCCCCGCCGCCCCCGCGAGCCAAGAGTCCACCTGAAAACCAGCCCCTGTTGCAGAGCGCCACCGTGTCGAGTCGCGTGTCCCAGGCGACGATGAGCGAGATGCGAGTGTGATGCTTGGACCCCCCTCCGAAGCCGGTCGTGCCGGACGTGCTGACGGCGTCGACTCTGCTTTAAAACAGACCAAGAATCGTCTCGTCCAATGCCAGTCGAGTTGTATATGTTCAAGAACGTAGGAAACACTTCTTCGAACGAAGATTGAATTGATAAGAAGACACTCGACAAGCAAATGGTCCGAGAAGCTTCTACTGTTCTTCATTTCCATCGTCCAGAAGACGACGTGTCGCAGCAATCAACGGAGGGGGGTGAATGGAGCTTCCGCTCGAGGGAACGAAATTGGGAAAACGTGGGAGAGATAGAAGTACAGGGTATTCGTCGAAGAAGGAGGTGATTTTTCAAAGATTGAAAAAAGATAGAAGAGGGAAATTTGGAAAAAGAAGAGAACCTAGAAAGTTTGAGGGAATAAAACTTGGTGAATGTAACAAGGTCTAAAGAAACGAAGAGAAGTGAAGAGAAATGACGAGAGAAAATTGAAGAGCTGGAGAATCTGTAAAGATTCAGAGTTCTAGAATAAGAAGTCTAATATTCAAAGAAAAGCCCTGAAGAATGAAAGAAAGGTCAAAGAATTTTCAAGGCTTGGAGAATCTAAGAAGGATGGAGAAACAAGTCCAAAGGAACCTCAAACAGAAAAGTGGTTTTTCTCGAGAAAAAAAGTAGTGATTCCAGAAATTACAGGAAGACGGACATTTTATGAGGATGAAGCTTAACGTGAAAACCACAGGAAAAAGTGTTGATAATAGAAATGTGAGACTAGGTTATCACGATACGAATGAAATTACGTGTCTCGACGGATACCAAAGCCCTATCGAATTATAACCGGGAACTATAAATGATCGAACGATAATTCTCGGTATCTGAAACCTCGTCATAAATACAGGCGTGTTTCTTTTTACCATCTGATCGTATTTCAATCACAAATAAAATGAAAAAAGAAAGAGGAAAAATGGAAAAAATCAGTACATTCAGCTAGCTAGTTGGTAATAATGAATTCTAGGTGTTACAGGGGGGGAAGAGGGACGCTCAACAAGCCAGAGATCGATCATGGAAACCCGTGTATAAAAATGAAACGCTATCCACTACGATGTTAGATGTTCCTTGTACATATTTAACGAGAAAAAGCGAAAAAAAAAATGAGAAAAAAGGTGAATTTATACCGTAAGAGAATGAAAAAAAAATATAAGCCAAACACATTTGCTACTTTCTAAGAGGGGACGTGTACCACCCGCGTGTCGCGTACCGTTTCGATCGTCCGTTCTCGTTCGTTCTTCCGTTTTCTCGACTTTATTTCTTTCCTCCTAAAATAATTAACGGTGTAAGTGTGTCGAGATCATCAAATGCTCAGATCATCGTCATCATCGTAAACGAACAAACAGCTCGCCACCGACGATCTCATCATCACTATATTATAACTTTCGATCGGTCGAATAACCTGTAAAATTTACGATATTCAAGATTTAATCGTGTATGATCAAGTTGATAGAATTTCGACGCGTTACAAATCGATACAATTTCTTTTCTATTTTCGTTACTTCGACTCTGCTGGCCTTCTTCTGAAATTCCAGTAGAATTGAGAAAATAAAAGTTAACTGGTGCCTCCTGCACACAGGACACAATGTACCGTCCACCATTTTACTATCACAATCTCCGACGCCTCGTTTAATCATAATTCTAATGAAACTTCATATGGAAAAAAGTATTTTGTCTCACAATGGAAGTTCCATTTAAAATAAGTATACAAAAGAGTACAACAAAGTTCTTTAAATCATTTCTTTTTCTGTTTTTCTTTCCTTTTTTGAGTATATGATAAGACTGGTAAATCGAAGAAGAATGTTATTTCACCGATCAAAAGTCACGAATCGTCGATGTGTAACGTCTTTCGACCTCGTCCCATTATCATACAAGCATAATTCAAAATGGCCCCATTTCACGAGCAGAAAGAGAAAAATCAAACTGAGTGACGCTTCGCTGATACGCACCGTTCCTGACGATGAACGTCCGTGCAACGGTGCATGATGGGTAATTACCGTTTTTTCTACGCTTTTGGTAACACTGAGAAATCTACCGGCGAGGAGGAGATTTCGTTTCACTGAAAAACACCACGTACACTATTCAGAAATTAAAGTAAAAAAGAAGAATCCTTAAGAAAGGCTCGATTCACATTAGTCATTCAGTCGCTCGAATTCACCTGGTCAATTTTAATCATGCAGTCATGACTAGCTCCATCGTGTTGCTGGTTGGCCACAAGACTAACATTACATTCTGTATAATTTAAAGCTTGGTTACGTGATTAACAAAATAATCATCATTATTATTATTCAGTTACATTCTGTATAATGTTCTCCACGTTATAACTGTTCTCATTATTATTCACTTATAATCCGTATGATTTACGATCTGTTGACATATCTAACAGAATAACCATTCTCACTATTATTTAATCACATTCTATATAATAGGATATTCCAAATATCTCGTGAAATATTCTATATAATTTGCAGTCTAATTATATACTTTATTATTACTATTCAATTATAGTCAATATGAAAATAGTCTCACTATTATGGTAATTCTAACCTGTCTAAATAGAAGCATCGTTGTTCTTTCATCATAAAAAGATATAACCTAAAATCAAGTGGAATCTAAATATAATTCCACGGTACTGTAAAATGATTCTCCAACACAATTGTATAAATTTTCATGCCATTACTCGATGATATATCACCTTCTTCCTTTCGTGTTCATAATTCGATTACAGTTCAAGCTATGTTCAACCATGTTGTTTGATGTAGCGCCACGTGATCGTAGGAGGCGATTGCATAACGTTTAGTTACAGCATGGCTAAGTCGGTAACGCAAATCAAACTGTACAGTGGCGGTAACCGCCACCAATGTAAATCGAGCCATAGAGTTCCAACGAATCGACTATCCACAGAAATGGTCGTGTGCGTGTTAAAGGTAACCGTAGATCGTGAAAGTGGATCTAACCAAAGATTCCTGAAAATCTGTGCTATCCTGAATAAAATTATCGTCCCGTTTCAAATCGTCAACAAAAAGAGATAATGTCGGAGATGAATAAACACTGGTCGATTCGTACGTGGTTTCTAAGTGTACGTGGAATTTTTGTAAAGTTATACGTATACATATAGGTGTAACATAAAAATTAACACAAATCTGTTATTGTGCGTAACACACTGCCACTGGACACGTAAATTCACGTAAGCTGACGTAAGCTGACGAGATGAATTTCTCCGGTCGGTTCGGATAAAAGAGACTGTAATTCCTGTGTGACTTGATTCTTTGAAGCACTATTCTATCATAATTAATCATTTCTAGTTTACCCATATTTTTCGAATTATATTTTCAATATGCTGTAGTTATTTGAAAAATGTAATTCTACACAAGAAAAGTGATTTCCTTCTCAAAATTCAGTACTACACGTCGAAACTATTATATAATTATCAAAAAATTTAAGAAAAATCTTTGTAGATAGTTTACTTATGAAATTTCGTTGATTCTGATTGCAATGATGTTGACCACGTGGAAACTATGAATATTCGAATTAAATTTTTTAATATAACAGTCTAATTTTTCTTTAATGTATAAGAAACTCTTCGTAATATATCACAAATCGAACTGATTAAATGAATTGTCTTTAATGCCGTAGTTGTTAAAGTTTGCAAAGTTTCTCGTAATAAATGTTGCAAGAATACAAAATTCGCACAGATCGCGCCATTACACTTCACTTCACAACGTCAGAACATTCGAATAATATGTTTCAAAGAATTAATCACCGGACCGAATTTAACGCTTTCACTGTTACCGAATAATCAAACTCTTCTTAATGGAACCAATTATATAATTCAATCTTTATTTGTATTAGTATCTATACGAT